ACAGCTATTCTAAATATAAATATTTAAATTATCTTTATAGTCCATGTGCAGTAATTAACAGTAATAAAAGTTAATTAAGATTTAAGAGAGTCAAATAGAACTCAACACTTTTTACTTAATAGGCATTTTTTGGTAACTTGGTGATAATCTATATTGTGACTTATAATTACATTGATAAAATAAAACAAAAGATAAAAAAATTGCATTGAAATGGCATAGAAACTAACAGTCTATCAGTTTGTGAACATGTATACTTGGCTTTTGATTATCATGAATGACTTTTACAAATATGAAGATCTTTTTGTTCTCAATCCTAAAACCATCATTATACAGTTAAAAAACATGTTCTTGTACATTACCACAGTAAGGGAAAAATTATTTCCATGGTACTACTACTTTGGTTATGATAATTTTAATGTCTAGATTTAGTAGTAGGAAAAGTACAATGTAAAGACAGTAGGAAAATTTAGTAGTCTAAAATCATTTTAATTATCTTTTAAAGTTTTAAGAAATGTATCTGCTTGCGCCGGTGTTGGTGGCGCATGCCTTTAATCCCAGCACTCGGGAGGCAGAGGCAGAGGCAGGTGGATCTCTGTGAGTTCGAGGCCAGCCTGGTCTCCAAGGATAGGCTCCAAAGCTACACAGAGAAACCCTGTCTTGAAAAACAAAAAAAGAAAAAGAAAAAGAAAAAGAAAATGTATCTGCTCCATTAAGAATGAAGAACCATCAACTATAGGAAAAACACCCAAAGTGATCGTGTTCACAGTTGGTGATCTTTTTCTAGTCTACTTACTTATGTACCACAGTCACTAGCTCTTCCACGATGTTTCCATTCAGTAAAATATCCATTTTTATAAGTTCTGCAGTCTGGTAACCTGCATCTTCATAATCAAAACTAATGAGGACAAAAAGAACAATGATAAATATGTTGACACTCAACAAATTCCTTTTTCCTAAAACATTCATTACCTGCCTTCACCTTATGAAAACTCAAATTGCTACCAGACATAAAGTTTCATTTAATGATGTATATGTTCATAGTAAAGAACCAAATATATCAACCTTCATTTATGAAATCAAGGCCCTAAGTATAGGAACTATAAATCCCTAGAGAGAAGGAAAAGGACCTGGTTAGTGCAAACTAAGAAAATCAACCACTAAAAACCAATGTCAGCTCCTTTCTAATGCTGCCACCATCTGGTGGTCTTGGGCTAACATAATTTTAAAGGGTCACTACTACCAATAACAATATTGACAATAAAAACAAACAAATAGGAACAAAAATAAAACAATTATTTAGGCAGTTTAGACAGTACATAGATAATGCACTAATGAAATGCCATTAAGAAAGGACATTTGGATTTCCTATATAGATATGTAGTTTCAACATTCAAAGACTCTGTCAGGCCTGAACAAGCTAATACATATAAGAGTACAAGTGGACCTAATATATACCAAGTAGTTACAACAAAGCTCAGCTAGTCACAAACAAGCACTCGTTGTCTACTATTTTCATCAATATGGTCAAAGTTAACAGTACCAGTCAAAAAGTTTAATTCACAAAGCTTTTGCAATAAAACAAACTGCCAGAAAGCAATATAAAAGCTTTCTTGCTTATTTAACAGTCAACCCTTGTACTTTTATTTTGGCTGGGTTTCAAGCACTCCCTTAAAAAAATATATGGACTTTTTTTATTAGATAGACAACACATTCCTGGGAACACCTAGTTCTTGACTACATCATTGGTAAGTACAGTGCATATTTAGCAGTTTTCATACTTAATGTTTACCTCCATATTCCAAATATAAGTAGATGCTCCAGGGAACAAAAAACATACACATATATTTTAAGTGTCACAGACACAGATGTTTGAAATTATGTCCAACTCTTAAGACAAGGGGATATAAAACTCTTAAGAGGCTGCTTACTTTTTCAGAGATTAAGAGTAATCAAAAGAATTTTTCCTCCTATAAGTAAATGTCAAGTACTCTATAATATCTGTAATGTCAAGCTTCCTAACCATATGATTCTCAACTGCCTTCAAGACATTGGCAATGACTAAGGATAGAAGAGTAAAGTCTTATCAGCATTTTCAAAAGCTCCCTTGGGATGTCTGTGATTGCCATTATTTTCTCACCATCATTTTCTCACCTTGCATATCCAGAAGACAGAGACTTCAAAGAGTCATAAAAATCTACCACAATTTCATTCAAAGGGAAGAGATATTTAAGCATAACTCTATTTTCATCAATGAAAATCATATTTTCCTGAGTTGCTCTTCTTGCCTAAAGAAAGAAAAAAGTTCAAAGATAATCCACACAAATACTGATGCAAACAGATAAGTTTTTAATTTTGAAACTAGGATTTCTATAAACAAAATTAAACAGAATGAAGAAATATTATTTAATGGTCTACCAAAAATTTACAAGCAAGAGTTTTAATAGAGGAACAAAATTACTTTTAAACCAAAGCTTTTAATCTATGTCATAACAGTTTTATTTTCAAAATCATACTATATTCACTTTCAAGTAAACAATTAGACTAAATCACACTGGAAGTCCCTGTGGGATAAGTATGTAGCTTTTTCATTCCTCTGACTAAAATATTAGGCTAATACCGACAATCAGACTAAAAACTAGTATGTGAAATCAAGCCAGTGGATCAGTACTGTTTGTGGATATAGGACTGTGAAACAAGAAATCGTTATTTAGTTATTGAAGCCAATTTCTCAGCAGGAGTCCTGTAAAATATAAGCTTAGGTAGGCACTGCTCCGAAGGCCTGAAACCCACTTGGTGTTTCTACCTGGCAAAGTGCCATTATTTTTCCAGTGTATTCAGTTGGTGTGACAACAGTGCCCAAAACAACTGGTTCCAAATATTCTGTTACTTTTGACTTATCAGGGAACTGTGCAGGGTTGATGATTGTGATTTCTTTTTCTTTATATTCCTAAAAATGAGAAAAGGGAATAGTATTTAAAAACAAACACTAATGTATTTCTTAAAGGTTTGCTCTTATCATACAGTATATTTTAGAACACAGTTATTGAACTTACTGTAATCAACAAAGCAGCAGCAATAAAAACAACAAATAAAACCACTAAAGATTAGACTATTACATAATACAACTTTTCTTTTAGGTAGCATAAAACCCTTCCAATTACCACCTTTTAACTTTGTTAGTAATATCCATCTAAATATATTAATGTATTCTGGTTATTAAAATTTACAAAACACACTTCATGAACCATCTAGAAAAAAATGTGACAAAAAGCTACATTTTAACCAGACAGTTTCAGCTACTATAATTAGTGTATAAAACTGATTTATTTGTGCTCAAGGTAGCAGTGGTTTCAATAAATAAATTGCCACTTAAATGGACTACAGTACTGCTTCTATCATTAACTTAAAACTTAAAAATGTCCCGCAAGAATGAAGGTTTTAGTTTTTATAACAGCAATTATTTATAACCAAAATTATCTTTCATATTCTGTGCTGAATTTACAAAAGTCCTCTCATTACTAGTTCTTTTTACTGTTAGTACCAAACTAATTTTGATAATGAAGGAATCAAGCTAAGAAAAATAATGCATGAATTAGTTTTTAAAAGGTAATAAGGTAATAAAATTTTATTATTACTAACCAATAATAAATTACTTTTAATAGAGATTCACTTACCAATAACTAAAACTTTTCTCCTGCATTTAGTATATAGATGTACACTTCTTTGTGAAATTTTCCCTTTCAGGCTTATACAAACTAGAAGTAAATGTGGTACCTTTATCAATTTTGCAGATGATAGAACAGCTTTGTATGGAACAGTGGGGGTCGTCAAAATAACAGAAGCATTATACTCCTGCTCTAGCCGCTGGTTGAAAACTTCCATGTGCAAAAGTCCCAGAAATCCCAACCTGGAGAAAAGGAGGCAAACACCAAAAACCCTCCAAATGTCCATTTCCCACTGGCCTGTTTTCTGTTGTTGAACACACTGCTACTTTGTAGGAAAGGGCGGAAATCAACTCATTCCAGAAATTTGCATCTATTATATATAATTTTATAAAACGAGACCCAAATTTTCTACAATTTTTAAATTACTATAAAAATTATCCACAAAACAGGAAACCACTTGAGAAATGAACAGACATTGAGAATTTTAGATATTTTACTCATATATCTGATCCTCAGGGCCTGGGAAGATGGCTGAGTGGTACTGTGCTCATTGTGCAAACATAAGGACCCAAATTTGGATCCCCAATATGCACATGAGAAAGGCAGGAGCTGCAGAATGCACCTGTGACCCCAGTGCTGGAAGCAGACAGCAAAGTGCCAGAGTGACCTCCAGGATCAGGGATAGACAGTGTCTCAAAATAAAGTGGAGACTCAGGTTGATCTCAGACCCTTGAGCATGAACATCTGGTTATGCACACTGCATGTACATGTGCACACATACACATGAAGACTAGAAAAAAATAATGTAAACTGATCCTCAGAAATGTTTATGAGCAACCCATCCATTAGAACTTATTTTCCCATAAAAATGTGAATCTATGGTGTGAAACCTCCTTACCTCCAGCCAGCACCCAGGGCCAGACTACTATCCCGATGCACTGTCACACTGGAGTCATTTAAGGTCAGTTTCTCTATAGCACTCTTCAGGTTATTATATTCAGATTGGTCTACAGGGTACACTCCTGGGGACATAAACATAATATGAAGTGCTGCAAATTCAAATTCACCATTTGGCAATTAAATTACTTTTATTTATTAAATTATTTGCAAGTTATCTTGGAATCCATTAGCTTTGATAAACATACAATTGTGTTAACATGCCAAACAGTGGTTTTATGCTTTTGGAGAAATACAAAAAGGGGGGAAAAATGTGAACAACCCAGGGAGTTAAACCTACTCACAATTAGGCAAATTATATTCTTTTCAAAAATCAAAAGCATAAGATGGTAAACCACTGTGAGGGAAAATATTAGTAGGTGGGACACAAGATTTCGTTCCTAGACAGGTCATTAAGACATAAATTTGGCTTTAAAAAACTTACTGCTTAAACTATGAAAGCTATTGCTGATTCCTAGGATTCTCTTCATCTCATGCCTATGATGACTTCACTTTACAAATCCTCTGAAATCCAAATGACTGCCTCTACCTAAGCACAGCAGTAACAAACTTCATGATCTCTGAAGAGAGGGGAATATGAGGAGAGACCAAGCACTAAGCACCCAGATTAGAATATCCAAATGACCCTCAATTGGGTCTTCATTATCTAAATGGCTGCAATGTTCACAGTAATACGTGTTCTGATGTCACACACTTGAAGAAACACTGCTGTCCACTGCATCCATGGAGCACAATCTAATTAAATAAAGAGAATTCCACTAAGAGGAGGGATTAATTAATTCTACTGAGAATTGTAATTAAAATACCCTAATAAATCCAAATATAATCAACTAACTTCTCAGAATAACAAGAAAATTCACCCAAGATCTCCTACATATTTACTTATTTCTTAAGAAATCCAAAATGATCTCTCATATAAAATGTCACCAAGTAAATGAAGCTATAAAGTGATACAGAGATAGAACATATATATACACATAGACAAATGAAATGTCATCATATATAAATTACAAACATCTATAAGAATGTTTACTGTCTTCTAGTACATTTTTTTTTCCACCACAGTAACAGATTTTTAATTAAAAAATATTTTGGCCTTTGGTGTTGAATTTGTGAGCTCCTCACCTGCAAATACCATTGGTTTCGCTGATTTAAACCCAGGCAAGGGCTCCACTGGATGATTATGTAAATATAATGTATCTCCTATTTGTGCTTCAGTGACATCTTTCATCCCAGCAATCAGAAAGCCCACCTGTCCTGCATATCTAAATGAAATTAGCATATGCAAATATTTACTGCTTTTCTGTTGTAGGTGCATACTCACAAGTACCTTCTGTCACATACCTTCCAAACAAGTGGCACACACCAATTTTCCACCTCTGAAGCTCATCAGAAAAACAATACTGTGTCTTATCCATTGCCCTAAATTTCTACACATAGTGAAAACTACTTTGTAATTCTGCCCACCTTTCACAATTAAATACCAGGTTCTAACATCTATTGTAATTCTAATATCACTGTAGAAAAATTCAGGAGACTATCATGTCTATTATTATGTTATAAAGGTTCATTAACAAGGGGAAAAGATGAATTGTCAGGGGATATCTTTCTGTAAGCTGTGAATATGTTTCTCTTATTTGTTGATGAATAAAGCTATTTTCGCCAATGGACAGGCAAGATTTAGCCAGGCAGGAAATCAGGTAGTAGGCTGAGTCAGGGAGATGCCATGTAGCCACAAAGTATTGAGATAGGATGCCTGGGCATTCTCCGGTAAGCCAAGACCATGTGGAGATATACAGATTGAATAGAAATGGGTTAATAATTGAGAGCTAGCCAATAAGACGCCTGAGCCATAGGCCAAGCAGGTTATAATTAATATAAGCCTCTGTATGTTTCTTGGGATTAAACGGCTGGGAGGGACAGAAGCTTCTGTCCACAATGAAATTTTAAGCAAACAGAAAAAAGTAAACACGTAACAGTCTATTACATATCTGACTTTCACATGAAAAGAGCAGATTCCAAGAGTTCAGTTTTAGGCTTAAAAACAAAAAAAAAAATACATAATAACAAACTCATTTACATGTAGGTTGCAGCACAGGAGCCTCCAATGAAGAGGCAGTAATGGTCAATACATATATTACATATATACATATTCTACAATACACATATTAGAACACATGACCTTACTTCAGAAATACGTCATTAAAATTAAAATGGACTGATTTGAAAAGTGTCATGATTCACATAAGGTTTTTCAGATACAGCATGAAACTGCAATGATCCATGAACTCACACATTTGACACTTTAATTTTCTGAGACAAACTGAGAAGCAAAACTATGTACCTGATGTCATGGCTTCTCATTATCAGAGTAGCCACTCAGCAGCTGTTCCACAGCTAACTCAGATCTTATTTTTCACTGCATACAAAATTTTTAATCCCACTCCCCTATAAATTTTAATTAATCTAGGCTTAACCCTGAATTCCACAGTGAAGAAAGGTGTGCTTTGTTTCTGTAGCACCTTATATTGCAAAATATAGTTGTCATGAGGCTAAATGTAAAAGGAATGAGTTGAAGCCTCAAATACAGTAACATAGGAACCAAACCTACACTAGATCACTAAATTATTTCTACTAATTAATAAAACCTAATCATTTTTATACCCATAGAACTGCCTACTACAAACACATGAAATCCTTTTACGGAGTGTCTAGAAGTATATTTGCACTCCATCATCATCTGTTTAATGCTCCATTATAACCATTCTGAAGCACACTGGGAGAAACGCATATATAAACTGATGCAAAAACAGGTTACTTACAATTTATGAGTTGGCTGCTCATTAGGATTCAAAATGCCTACTTCATTAACTTCATATGTCTTCTTAGTGTGTGCAGATACAATTTTATCTCCTTTAGAAACCACTCCATCAAACAGTGCTATGTTGGCTATCACACCTCTATACTGGTCAAAGGTGGAATCAAATACCAATGCTCTCAGTGGGTTTTCACGATGTACTTTTGGACTGTTATAAAAGATAAATTTAAGTATAAATAAGAAAATGCCAAAAAAAAAAAAAGAAAGAAAGAAAGAAAGAAAGAAAGAAAGAAAGATATAAGAAAATGCCAAAAAAAAAAAAAAGAAAGAAAGAAAGAAAGAAGGAAAGAAAGAAAGGAAGGAAGGAAGGAAAAAAGAAAGGAAGAATACCTATTTTCAACTTAGGAAGCATGTTCATTTTAGTTTTTCAAAGATTCAATGACCAAAGCAAAAAGGCCTTTCTATAAAATGTTAGATTTAATTCAACCATCAGCTTTAAATTTTGAAATTATTATTTCAAAATAATATATATCTGAAATATTACTTTTTGGTATACATTTAAAAATATATATTTGAAAATATTATAGACATATGCTCATTATATAGCAAAGACCAATTACCAATGTACTGAAGTCCCTATACTACAATTACTAGAGACTGCCATTATCCTTACTTTCTTTACATAACTAAAAGCAAAAAATTTATTCTACCCTCCTACAAGATCACTTGACATATTCACTAGCTTAAAATAACAGAACAAGTTGGTGGTCGATTAATTTAAACTATTAAATTATAAATGCCTATAAATTATTAAACTCTAAATTTAAACTAGTAGGCATGTGTGAATAGCATAATAACAAACTGCTTACGGAGGTATTCTTTCAATGACTGCCTGAAGAACACTGTCAACATTTGTCCCAAGTTTTGCAGAAATCTGAAACCACATAGAAACAAAAGCAGTGAGATTTAAGGCTGCAATCATCTTCCTGGGGCGTTGTCATTTATGATAGGGAGGAAGAATTCTCTTATTCATTTGTTTGAATACAGAAAAAGGAAAAGGATACAGATTTCTAACCATTATTTGGTGTTACTGACCCTACGGTTTCAGGACTAAACTATAAGAACATTCTTAGTATATTCATAAAGCAATGGAATGAGAATTAAAACAAAAATTTTGATGATTAAAAACTGTCTTTTAATGAGGTACATCACTTTAACCAATACCTATCAAGTCCAAAACTACCTGCTCTTCAAAAACAAAATAACTATACAGACAAAATAATTTACCAGAAGTAATGCTAAGGGCATGAGAGATTTGAGAACACTTGCTGCTTCATAGAATACACCAGTTACTTTCCAGCACCAACAGCAGGGGGCTCACAACTCCTGTACCTCAATTTACAGGGGATCCAGCTCCCACTTCTGGCCTCCTTGGGCTCCTGTACATGGTGCACAGTCTTGTGTTTTCACACACATGTACACATAACTGAAATTAAGTAAATGCATTCTTTAAAAAACAAAAAAAAGGATTAATGCTACGCTGGGCTTCAAAAGGCTTTTTTGTTTGTTTGTTTGATTTTTGTTTGTTTTGTTTTGAGACAGGGTTTCTCTGTGTAGCTTTGGAACCTGTCCTGGCACTCACTCTGTAGACCAGGCTGGCCTCAAACTCACAGAAATTCACCTGCCTCTGCCTCCCGAGTGCTGGGATTGAAGGCGTGTGCCACCAACGCCTGGCTCCAAAAGGCTGTTTTAGTCCTGACATACTAAATCTGTGATCTTGGGAAAGTGATAAAATCTTTGAGCCTTAGTTCACTCAAAAATAATGTAGCAACAATCAGTATATTCTCACAATATAGAGGGAATTTTCTCACCTGGATCTAATGGAATAATAATTAAAAACACTCTAAAACTACAAAAGTGTGAGGTAATCAAACACCATGACATTTCAGTTAGGTCAATCACATGAGATTTTTCTAAGAATAATAAATAGTTGTGCTGATTAGTTTTATGTCAACTTGACACAGACCATGGTCATTTGAGAGTTGGGAATATCAACTGAGAAAATACTCCATAAGATCAGGCTATAGGCCAGCCTAGATGGTATTTTCTTAATTAGTGATGGATGGGAGGGGTTCAACACATTGTAGGTGGTGCCATCTCTCGACTGGTGGTCCTGGATTCTATAAGAAAGCAGGCTGAGTGAGCCAGGGAAAGGAAGCCAGTAAGCAGCACCCCTCCATGGCCTCTGCAACAGCTCTTGCCTTCAAGTTTCTGACCTGACTTCCTTCAATTATGGCCCACAATGTATAAGTGTAAGGTAAATAAACATTTTCCTCCACATTGGTCATGGTGTTCCATCAGGGCAATAGAATAACTAAGACAATCATCTTTTTTAAGAAGGCATTTACCTTAATACATTCATCACTAGGGATATCAAATACTTTTTCAATCTGTTTTTCAACCCTTTCAGGATCAGCATTCTTCAGATCAATCTATAAGCATTGCAAAAATAAAATTAGTCCATAATAATAATATTTGGAGAGCAATAAAACCCACTGTGAGTTAACCTAACTGACCTCTCTATGAATTTTACAAAAGAATATTTAAAATAATCTATACATTATCAACGTGATTTTAACAAGCATGACTACTGAAAACAAAATTCAAGCAACAAAACAGACAAAAAATGTAAGCAGGATGGAGTATATAATTAACAGCATGAGAACATACATTTAAAATGAAGTCAGATTCAAGTTCTTTTACTTATGGGCAACCCTATTTTACATTTAGCACCAATACAGAGAAATAACTTAATGCAGTCTGAATTTTTAAACTAGGATTCTTAACTCTATAGCACTGGACAGATTCATATGGATGGAGTTAGCATTGACCTGTTTCATGAAGTGCACTGATTCTTAGCTCTAAGCCTCTCTCCACGGCCATGGAGCTGGCAGCTTTGTCTTGTCTGACTTGCACTCCTTTCCTATAAAAAAGGCCTTTTCTCAGCACATGCAATTCAGATGAACCTTTTCAATTCTCCAAAAGGAATCTTTGACCTGCAATTCTATCACTAGAAATTGGGTGGAGGGGGGAGAGTAAATTCCACCGATAATGTAAACGAATAGTAACTACAGATCCCTTACAAAAAAAAAAAAAAAAAGTCACCATTAAACCCTAGGTACAATAATTAATGGCTTTGGTGTCTCATTTCAATTACCTTGTTTATAACTGGAATTACTGACAATTGTGCTTCAAAGGCAAGAAAGAAATTTGCTACAGTCTGAGCTTGAATACCCTGGAAGCAAGACAAGAGAGACTAAATGTACCACAAAATGAGTAAATCCATACCATTCCATATATCATCATCAAATTGAGACCTTTAGATCATGCTAAAAAAATGATATAATATGCCATCTGTTGGAATGTGGCCAAAACAATGTCACATGGTGAACAATGCCTTGGGGAACTGTGAGAGAGGCTGCAGGAAATGATCAGAGGGCCTTTACCACTAAGTGCATTTTGTTCCCTGGATTGTTCTTGGATGTGATTTCATATTTCCTATATTAAACATTTGCATTCACTTTATAAGACATGTTTATTCTTGTTGGAGCACAAATGGGGCATTGTTAAGTGTTTTTAATGACTCTGTTTTGCTGATTTCTGTGGCATATTTTCAGGAACAGGTGTTCCTTGCCCTCCTGTAACCTTTCTTCCTGTAACCTGTTATAAGAGGAGCTAGTTCTCCTGAATAAATTTAGTCAGTAGCCTTAGCTCTGGTTGCCCCATTGTTTCAGTCCCAGGTCATGACTTACCTGCAAGGTGGACAAATATCGACACCATCAGCCAGCCAGAGCCATGCCCTAAGACCTAAGATCTCACTTATGCTTCCTGAATAGTGAGCAGCTTGCCCCCCCCCCACACACCCGGCCCTGCCACAAGGCAAAAGAAATGAAGATTACCACTGGTAAAGAAAGAGCCAAACAAAGCAGGGTGAATCAGCACCTCTACTTAACAATATTAAAGTACATGGTTTAGAATGAGTAATATAACAAACCTGTTATTCCAATGCAAAAGTTCTATTTCCAAAATGCATTTCAAGGAGAACTTTAAAAACAAACAATTAGTCATGTCACATTATGTATAGTGAAAGATCTTACCTCATTTGCATCGACCACCAGTAAAACACCTTGGCAAGCAGATAGTGACCTGGACACTTCATAACTAAAATCAACATGGCCCTAAAAAGCAAAATAATAGTACCTTTAAAAATCAATTATATTTTTTAAAGGAACAGATATCATGGCTAATCTACTTATATGACAAAAATTTGGAAAATGTGGGGGATTTGTGAAAACATTTGGACCAGTTATACTATCAAAAATTAGAAAACAAACATCAATGGTAGACTACAAGATAGTGACCTGGACACTTCATAACTAAAATCAACATGGCCCTAAAAAGCAAAATAATAGTACCTTTAAATATCAATTATATTTTTTAAAGGAACAGATATCATGGCTAATCTACTGATATGACAAAAATTTGGAAAATGTGGGGGATTTGTGAAAACATTTGAAACCAGTTATACTATCAAAAATTAGAAAACAAACATCAATGGTAGACTACAAAATTCAGCCCCCAAAGGACAGAATTTTGTTTGTAATATCAATAAAACTAACTTAGCAATCTTTGAGAGGTCAATATGAAACTTACTGGTGTGTCAATGAGGTTTAAAAGGTACTGCTTTCCTTTAAAACTATAAAACAAAGTTGCTGTTTGTGCTTTCACGGTGATGCCTCTTTCTCGTTCCACTTGTAATTTATCAAGAACCTGCTGATTTTTCTTTGTCTTATCAATTGTTCCTAGAAATACAAGAAGCTTTTATTGATTTTTCTGGGATTCAAAAAAAATTAAACATAATTAAAAGAAAACATTAAAGATATAATACCAAAATGTAAGCCATCATGGTAAAACTAAATCCCCAATTACTCGAGGTAATCACAAGCATATGATATAAAATGAAAATACCTGTTAGTTCGAGAAGCCTGTCAGCTAAAGTGCTTTTGCCATGATCCACATGTGCAATGATACTGAAATTTCTAATATCTTCAGCAGGAAATCTAGACATGTCAGGTTTCTCCTAAAATGGGAAGGGGATATCACATTTAGGGGTATAAAGTTTGCATGAAACAAATTGTAAATTTAAAGAAAATTCTTTTAATCTTTGGACAATTTCACTTGTTGCACTTACTTTACCTCATTTTTCCTACAATAAAGATGTATGACTAAGCCTACACAAAGAACAAATTACAAGAGACTCACCAAATATATCGATTGCATAAACAAACTTCCATCACGTATTTAGCCAACAGCAAATTTATTTTCATTAATGCGAGACAGAACTCTTCAAGAGTATGAGAAGCACAGAAAACTCTTAGAAAATCTTTAACATAGTGAGACACACCACAATCTGCTGGAAATCGGTATTCAAGAGAAACAGGGGAGTGTGTGTTCTTGTTAGGCATTTTGCCGCAGCTGATATTTCATCATCAGGAAACAAGATGAAATTGTAATGACTGTAACACTTACTTCAGCTTCTTCTAGTTACTCAATATAGGCAGATAAAGGTATAGGGGAATTCTTTAAACAAAACTGTAACAGCACTGTAGTCTTTTTTTTTTTTTTTCCCCCATCGCATTCAGGTCAAAGTTCTGCAGAAGCGCATCACTTTCAAAAACCCTGAGTTGCGTTGCGACGAACACAAATCCATTTTTCTAACCACAAAAAGGCTATCTGCTGGAGCCACATCCTTGCACGGGGCTAAAAAGTTCCGTGCTTTTGCGTCCCACAAACCTCCAAGTTTGATTATTATCCCACTCAATAATGAAGCTGCAGAATCGGATACAAATGAGGCAAGTTGCCAAGAAAACATAAATAACACATGCACATGATCAACCCTATCCCTAAGCCAGGCTAGCGAGCAGCCAGGGTCCAAGGGCTCGCTCGCCCTCGGTGCACACGCGGAAGCCCAGCGCCTTCCTCGGGGTGAGCCTGTCACCTTGAGCTCAGAGGCCACCCCATCCCAGGGCCGAGGTTCCGGCCACAAGCGCCAGCGTGAGCCAGGCCTGACGCAAATAAGGTGCGCTGCGTGCTTGTCGCGCCGCTTGTGACGTAAGCGCGTTTCCGCAGGGGTGGAAAGGTCAGCGGTTGGAAGGTGTGGGGAGACCTTGGGTTACCTCAGTCACCATAGTTCATGCTCTGTGGTGCTCGCCCTGCAGCAGCTTATGTGTAGGCAATGCACCCCTATGTGCCATCAGTGCCCGCACTTGCTCAGGCGAGTACTGTTGCAGAGACACACCCTAGGCCTACTCCCAGCGGGTTCCCACAGGGTCAGGGAGTCCACAGATCTCCATATGGAGTGCAGTATCTGTAGACTGCTGCTTGAGGATACAGATTGACCCCAACCCCTTCCACTCTGGACACAGCCACGGTTGATGGTTCTTTTGAGATACTCATTGGAAAAACTGGAGTTCATGGCTTCTACGAAGGTAATTATTTCAGACTTAGACAGTATGAAGCATAGAATTATTAATACAAATAAAAAACAAACAGGGAACAAACAAGCACATCGGAAGGCAAGAATGTGAGCATCTCTGTGCCTATGCAAAAGTAATTCTTACCTCAAAATTGGTAAGAGAATTTATTCTGGAGCCGAACAGACATGTCCCTCACAGACACACCAACACAGGTGTAAGATAAGCCATAATTCTATGTTCCAATGAAATAGTGATCTTATGAACTTTTTATAGTGGCAGAACAAAGAGAGCCTTAATTTAAAGTATTTTTCAAATACGTCAATAAAACATTGTTGCAGCACAGCTTAGAAATCATGACCGTAAACCTCAGATGCTATCTGAGAGCATTCTTAGCGTCTGTGATTGGTAGAACTAGACTTAGTGAATAGTTTTAGTTGGCTTTAATCTGTGTCAAGATGGTAGGTCCCCTTTATCTGCTAGCCACAGGGTGAATACCTTCTTGTCCTCCAACTGTGATTCCCTTAGTTTTTCTACCAGGTGTTTTCCAAGTAGTCAAATTTACTATCCCATCTTATGCAATGCAGGTCTCCTAAGCATAGTCTAAAAATTGATGTTTTTACCTTACTTCTAGAGTTCCTCAAAAATCTCCTTCAAGGTACTAACAACTGCCTATATCTCCATTCTGCTTATCCCGTCTTACACCTGACTTTATTGTAGGCCTCTCACAGGAGTAGTTATTCCCTTGCCTAACCAATTCAAGTGCTTGGTAGTCAAGAACCCTGTTTAGGTGCCATGTTCTCTGACCTCCACAGCTTTAGGATTGACCTGACTGGTGTACTGGAGAATGAAGAAACAAAGTCACATGCACAGAAAAGTTAGGTCTGGGTGTGCTGTGTGTTCTGATGACATACCAGAAGCCTGGAAACTAAGAAGGCTTATATATGGTTGAAGAAGGAGGCAGGTTAGCTGATCTTGGTAGGGTGTCTCTGTAGTGTGACACTCTCTGCTGTAGTCATCCAGGAGGAAGAAGCTGTGTTTGATACTTTCTGCACACACTGTCCACATCCATTGTCTGACAGAGAGGAAGGTCTTGTCATTCCCAGAGGTCTGAGGCATTGACAGCAGTGGCCTGACCATGCTCATGTTAACAATACACATCCACTAAGGACTTTCCACAGCCTGGAACCACTTGCCCAGAGAATAGTATAGCCCACAGTGAAGCTGGCTCCTCCTACATCAATTATCAATCAACACAAAATACACAGAGGTACCACAGGCCAATCTGACTTGGATTATCCCTTCACTAAGACTTCCTCCTCAGATGACCCTAGCCTTTGTTAAGTTGACAGTAAAAGCTAATTGCCCATACCAGAATCCCGTCAGGGGGATTAATAGTTTAGGTTCTCTCTGTCCAAAGAATTTTCATTTTCATGAGTTGGAGGTGCTGGTGAGTATAAATGTTGCCCTCAGACTGCCTTTCCTTTGTCCCACTGGAGAGAGAGAAGTTTCACATTGATGCTATTAATCTCTTTGTTATGGTGGAAGCTTCACCACAGCCCCTGGCATTCATATACCCAAAGAGTCTAGAATGTTATGGTAGAAGTTCCACCCAAGTTCCTTCCCCTGTCTCTCCAAACCCTGCTGTATCTCAGAAAGCCAGCCAAATGATGACCCCTCCCCCAGAGATGCTCAAGACCACTCCTACAGGTTATTTAAACTGCCTCTTAAAATAGACTCGTGGTTTTCTAGTCTTTCTTTTCTATCTCCTTTCTGGGGAGCTTGAAAGCATTCCGGGAACTCTGTATCCTTTAAATGTGGGCTTTTTCTAATTTGGATTGATTTGGTTTGATTTGGATTGCTTCATCAGCAGAGAGGCTTATTGGGGTACAGAAACTTTTCACTCTTAAAAAAGTATAGCTACTTTCTCCACATGAACTCACTTATGCCATTTTCTCTAGTTTCTCATCATAAATCAGACTAACCATTTGTACTGTATAGACTTATGTCAACTTGATGCAAAATAGCTTGTAGGATCTGAAGATGGAACCACACTTGAGGAAATGCCCCATAAAATATGGTGTGATGAGTGTTTTTCTATTCCACCAGCCAGCTCACAAATAATGACACAGAGACCTATATTAACTAGGAAAGTTTGACCTATAGCTTAGGCTTGTTTAATAATCTATGTTCTACCAAGTGGCTTTTACCTCTATTTTATTTTGTGTGTCCTTCTTGTTCTGCATTTGGATGGCTTGCCTGACTTTCTTCTTCCCAGAGTCTTCTCTATGCCTAGAAGTGTTACCTATAACCCCTGCCTAGCTATTGGCCATCTGCTCTTTATTAAACCAACCAGATGCCTTGGCAAAGACACATATTCACACTGTGCAAAAAATTAATCCACAACAATTAGGTTGTAGGTAAGCCTGTAGGGAATTTTCTTAATTAGTGATTGAAGGGAAAAGGCCCAGCACAATGTGGGTGATGCCAACTCCTGGGCTTTCGGTCTTTGGTTCTGTGAGAAAACAGACTGATAACATGCAGATAAAGAGCACTACTCCATGGCCTCTGAACAAACCCCTGCCTCCAGGTTACTGCCCTGTTGCGTTCCTGCCATGACTTCCCTAGATAATGGACTACAATATGGAAGTGTAACTAAATAAACTCATTCCTCTCCAATTTGCTTTTGTTCATAGTGTTTCATCATATCAATAGTAACCATAACTAGGACACGATGCCACAGTTGGGCATTGTGCTGCCTTGATGTTTCTTCTGCCAAACAACTTAATCCATTACATTTAGATTCAGCCTCTAGCCCACTTGTGCATGGGGTCCTTATTTCCTTCTGAAACTTTGTGAACATAATCTTCATTATCTTTATGTCAGACTTCTAGCTTTCCTCACCAACATCAGAATGACCCATTAGGAGATGATTACAACATTCCAGGACCTTTATTGCTTTTGGCATAAAACTTTTCTGCATTCCTCTTACAAACCAGTTTTAAATGGTTTAAGAGTCATGTGGTCAGCTTTATGACAGCAGGAACACAGTTTTTGGGACCATTTTTCCCATTAGTTACCTTTATTGCTGTGGACAGAGGACCTTTGGTCACATTTTGTCCAAAGCCAGGAAATAAAAGATGAATCCTGATACTCAGATCTCTTCATCTTTCTATGCCTTTTATTTTATCCTGTGATCCTATTCCAGGGGATTCAGGGTTTGTCTTCCTTTGTCATTCAAATTTTGTAAACATCCTCACAGACATGTTCAGGTATGTGTTTTCTAGTGGATTCCAAACCCAGTCAACTTGACAATAAATATTCTCTCTCACACACACATACACACACACACACTGCATCTTTAGATAGAGTCACATTCTGAGGTACTGAACATTCAGGTTTCAACTTATGAATCTTAGAATGAGAGACACAGTTCAGCCTGGACTGAATGATGAGGACATCATAATACTTCATAAAGTCTAAATTCTGTATCAAGATTATTGACATTGTGGAACATTTTTAGCTAGGTACTGAACATTCAGGTTTCAACTTATGAATCTTAGAATGAGAAACACAGTTCAGCCTGGACTGAATGATGAGGACATCATAAGACTTCACAAAGTCTAAATTCTGTATCAAGATTATTGACATTGTGGAACATTTTTAGCTCTAGTAATGCCATGAAATCATGTTTGCAATTGTCATTTACAAACATTTATGCAATTTTATAGAACACCCATGCAATGTTGAAAGAATGTAGCATTGCTGTTATGAAGCTAAAATGTTGCCCTCTTGTATCTACATTGCAAACTACAGCCTAAAATTTACTATTTTAAAATTCTTCTAATAATACTTTAAAACATTTTTTCAAAATTTTAACATAAATTGAGGGCTCTAAAGTACTTTTATGCCATAAA